CTTCTTCTGCTAGGAACACAGTCAGCAGATTTCTGTCAACAGGCAGCCTCTTCAGCTGCAGAGAGTTGTGTTGTCCGAGGCTACGCACCTCCTATCATAGAGGCCCACTTCCAGTGACCAATGGGTGTGGGAGAATAATGTCCTGGCTGTCTTGGGCAGTGCCATGCTGGCACCATCTTCTACTGACTCTCAAGGCCTGACTGTGAAGAACAACTTGATGTCCTGTGATGTGTATCTGGAGGTCGCATTGCTGGTGACATTTCACTAACCAAAAGCATTTTTCCTTATTCAGAGAGTCAGTTTGCCAGTGTACTACTGTCCTTTGCTTACTCAGAATCTTCATCATATGTCTGAAGGACCCTTGGCTAGACAATGCTTTATTAAATAAGGGCTAAAGTAAAAAAAAATATCTCCTTACACATCAGTTGGTATTTCACTTTATTTTAGTTTGCTTTGGGGGGTGGATTCTGGGGATCAAATTCAGGGCCTTACACACGCTAGGCAATCACTCTACCACTGAACAACACCCCAATTCCACTATTTCATCTTAACAATCTTTGTTTTGGGGGTAGAAAGCTGCACAAGAGACAGAATCCAAGGCCTTTTGTGTACTAAGCAAGGGCGCGACCATTGAGCCACATGGCTAGCCTTTAACAAACGTTTATTGGGATAGTTTACTAGATACCACAGCGAATGGTATGGAAAAGAAAAACATAAATATGACAAAGCCTCTGCCCTTTGGGGGACATGGAGGGGATACAGCGAAACTGTCAATTGTACTCCAAACTTGGAATAAATGAATAGTAAACGGGTAGCAATCTAGAATGGATTTTTTTTGTTTTTTTGTTTTTGTTTTTTTTTTTGAGACAGGGTGTCTCTGTATTGTTTTGGAGCTTCTCCTGGAACTCACTCGGTAGACCAGGCTTGGTCTCGAACTCACAGAGATCCACCTGTCTCTGCCTCCCGAGTGTTGGGATTAAAGACGTGCGCCACCAATGCCCGGCGTAGAATGGATTTTTAAAAGTCTATCTGAAGTATGTGAAGAAAAGGTGGTCTGCCAATTACACTCCTAGATGTAAATGAGCAAACAGGATTTAATCAGTGATGTAATCAGAGGGGGGTAGTTCAAACCTAAGGAGATTGTGGGGGCTCAGATAAAGTTATTAGCTCTTTTTCTTAGCTTCCCACTTTCTTCAACCCCGAATTTCCATTGAGCCCTCGATGTTCACCTACTTCCACCCTATCCAACTTTCTCCAGAAAGATGTTCTCTATGTGACAGGAGAGTCAGCCACTGGAAGCCTCCAGACTGCATCTTTCCAGCTTTGTGACCCAAATTTCACAGAGCAAATCTTCAGGAACTGGCTCTGTTTGTGCCACCTGCTATTGTGGTTTGAATGTGAAATGAAACCCCCCACAAGTTCTGTAGCTGAGGGAAGGCTGTGGGTAGAGCCCAGTTTGAGGAAGTTCATCACTGGGGGTGGGTCTTGAGGTTTCTTAGCCTAGTCCTATTTGCTGTCCTCTCTCTGCTTCCTAAATGCGTATGCAATGTGATTGACCATCCACTTTTCCCTGCCAAGCTGGGCTCTAGCCCCTGTGACTGTCCTTCTGTCTTCCCCTGCCATGCTAGTCTCTAGACCCTGTGACTGGCCTTCTCTGTCTTCCTCTACTGTGTTATAGCATGAACTCTAATTGGTCTTAATAATAAAAACTTGGAGTCAGGTATCAGGGGGTGAAAGCTGAAGCATCAGAGAAATAGAATGGCCAGCCACTAGAGTTCTTACCTCTACCAGTGCTCAGACCAAAGGGGCGATCCTGTCCCTATGAATACTCAGACTGCATCTCAGACTGAATCCTCAGACTGCATCCGTCTCTATGGATCCTCAGGCTGCCCTGTTCCTCAGACTACTTAGACTGCATTTCTCTCTCTCGTCTCCTTCTGCCTTACATTCCTCTCTCCACCCAGCCATGTCACTCCTGTCTCCACCTCCCTAGTGCTGGGATTAAAGGCATGTGATCCCAAGTGCTGGGATAAACTTTGTACAAGCTCTGTTTCTCTTTTAGACAGATTCAGTCTTGTGTAACCCAGAGTAGCCCTGAACTCCATCTACCTCTGTCTCTCTAGTGCTTGGATTAAAGGTATGTACCACCACTGCATGACCTCTATGAGAGACTAACTAGTGTGGCTTCTGGGATTAAAGGTGTGTACCACCACTGCCTGGCCTCTATGGCTGACTAGTGTGGTTAGCTTTGCACTCTGATCTTCAGGTAAACTTTATTTGTTAGATCATAAACATAATAACACCATACTGTGCTGGTCTCCAGCCTCTAGCCCCTAAACTATAAGACAAAATAAACCCCCTCTAAGGTTTCTTTTTGTCATGTATTTGCCTTTAGCAAAGTAACTTATACAAATGCCCATCCTCGAATCTACCACCATGACCAAGATGAAGGTATCATAGACAGTTGGATGGGTTTAGCAGTGATTACATACTTACCTTATGACTTAAAGGTAGGTACAGATTTACCAAATAAGTATGAGTGTTGTGGTGGTTTGAATAGGAATGATCGCCATAGACTCATGTGTTTGAATACTTGGTCCACAGGGAGTGGCACTATTAGGAGGTGGCCTTGTTGAAGTAGTTGTGGCTTTGTTGGAGGCAGAGTGTCATTAGGGGGTGGATGTTGAGGTCTCAGAAGCTCAAGTCAATTCTTTGCCTGCTGCCTAAGGATCAAAATGTAGAACCCTCAGCTCCTTTTCCAGCACCACATCTGCCTGCACACCACCATGATGATAATGAACTAAACCTCTGATTTGTAAGCCAGCCCCAATTAAATGCTTCCTTTAATAAGAGTTGCCACTGTCTCTTCACAGTGAAGTGCTAAGTAGAGAAAAACAAAGAGCTATCCCCAACAAATAAATGCCGATGGGGTAGAGAGGGATGCAGTCTGAACTCTTCCTGCTAGAGTAAGGCCACTGCAAGTCCTGAAGTAAGAAAGTAGCTGTGGACAATGCTTGGACGAGATGAACTTTGGCGATTCTTTTCTGTATTAAACTTGCTCTGATTGATCAACAGAGACCTTCCTGGGTGTCAGTGTACAATGTAGGTAGAGAATGATGGTTCTGATGCAAACGATAGACTGATAATGTACCCGTGGAGGTTCATCCTATTGTGATTCAGGATGCTCAGAGTCAGGGACATTGTCCATGCCCATTGACAAGAAGTATGTGAGGCCGGGCGTTGGTGGCGCACGCCTTTAATCCCAGCACTTGGGAGGCAGAGGCAGGTGGATCTCTGTGAGTTCGAGGCCAGCCTGGTCTACAAGAGCTAGTTCCAGGACAGCCTCCAAAGCCACAGAGAAACCCTGTCTCAAAAAACCAAAAAAAAAAAAAAAAAAAGAAGTATGTGAGAACTCTTCCTCAACTCTTCTGTGAGTCTAAAATGTCTCTTAAAATCACAGTCTAAAGCTGGGCGTTGGTGGCACATGCCTTTAATCCCAGCACTCAGGAGGCAAAGGAAGGCAGATCTCTGTGAGTTCAAGGCCAGCCTGGTCTATTGAGCGAGTGCCAGGACAGGCTCCAAAACAATACAGAGAAACCCTGTCTCGAAAAACCAAAAACCAAAAACCAAACCAAACCAACAAAACCCCCACAGTCTATTAAAAAATAGTGAGGGTGATGGTAGCTGGCAGCCTTTTGAATAGCGACATGAATTTAACTATTTTGAATTTAGAGGAACATAATATTCCCAGATGACAACCAGTCAGCAGCTTCTCAGATGAGGTCATCATTGGCACCCTGTCTTAGTGACAGGAAGCAAATTTAGTCGTTTTACAAGCATAGGTTTAAAAAAAGAAGAGTGTTTGAATTTGTTTTCTTCATTGTAAGGTTTTATACTCTGAATTTGCTTTCAATAATTCAAGCACAGAGGATGCTGGAATCTTTTTTTTTTTTAAACTAGGAGAAACATTGTTACTGCTTGTATTGTGCTGCTTCTTTCAGAGCCTTTTAGTCTCCCGGCTACAGACTATATTTTGGACATTAGTCCTAAATTTGAAAATTTTAAATATAATTACCATATAGGAAATATTACGTTTGGGAGATACAGCATACTTTTATTTTTTGTTTTGTTTTGTTCTTTTCTTTTTTATTTTTGAGACGGGGTTTCTCTGTGTACCCCTGACAGTCCTGGAACTCGATCTGTGGACCAGGCTGGCCTCAAATTCACAGAGATCTGCCTGCCTTTGACTCTCAAGTGTTGAGATTAATTAAAGTCGAGAACAACTACTGCCTGGCTTGGTTTTGCTTTTGAGACAGGGTCCATTTTACTTTGTAGCTCTGGTTGACCTGGAACTCCCTGGGTAGACCAGGTGGCCTTTAGCTCACAGAGCTTCACCTGCCTCGGCCTCCTGATTGCCAGTGCTGGGGTTAAAGGCTTGTAGCCGTCTCTTATTAATTTTAAATGAGAAATCGACTAAGACATATGTTGTGATAGACATTGAGACTGGAAACTGAAAGGAAGACAACTGTCCAACTGGGACAGCACAACCTTGCAAAAGTGGCTAGTCACTGTGAGACTTCACGAGAGGTGACACTCCCCCCCCCCCGGAATGCCCTGTCTGCTAAACTGGGAATCCACACCCGGGTTAGAGACCACACCCTCCCAACTCGTGCACCTAACTAGAGATGTAAAGCACTTCTTTTCTACTTTTGGAAAGCATTGAATTTGAGAGATTCCCTTAGCTCTGACAACTGCTGACAGCTGGCCCTGTCCCAGTAGGTTCCAAGTGACAACTTTAAGTGCAAACACCCCTTTCTGCGTTGGGAGGAGCGGGGAGGGGACAGAGCCTTTGATAAAGATTGTGTAGCAAACAATGAGATAAGAAGGTCAGGCCACGCCCGGCCGCCTTGCTCCTCCCGCAAGAGGGGCCGGTCCTCGCGAGCAGGAACCCTGTGTGTCAGGGTCTGGCTGCCGGGCTGCCGCGGGGAAGCATTTGAGAGTGGGACCGCCAGAAGCCGCTTGTAAACAGAGCCGGGCCGGGATGGTCGGCGGCTGGAGCGGAGTGGCTGGCGGTGAGGAGGGCGGGCTGCCTGGGTCGGGGCCCTGCGGGGAGTCGGCGGCAGGCCGCGGGGGTGACCGGACCAAAGCCACGGTGAGCATCCGCCTGGCTGCGGCCTCGGGCGGGCGGGTCGGGAGAGGGACGGGATGACACATCCCGGGAGCATCCCGGGGTCGCAGGGATGCTTCCCACGCACCGCTTTCTGCTGTGTTTCGGGCTGGAGATAGCGCGTCATTTGTGGGTGATGAGTGAGGGGATGACACAATCCGCTGGGTTTTTTTTTTTTTTTTTTGTGAATCACGTAAACGCAGAAATTAGAAACTAGTTGCATAAGGTGATCTGTTTCCTGTGTTTTTTGTTTGTTTGTTTTGTTTTTGTTTTTTTTAAGGAACCTCTCCCCGGTGATCATAGAAACCAATCCCCAGCCGAGCTTTTAGCCCCCAGAGAAACGCGACGATCGTTTTCTGTTGACTCTGCCCATTTTGAATGTATAGTAAATGACGCCACAGGACTGATGACAAATTGGTGTTTACGAAAAGCTTACCAAGCTAAAACAAAAACAAAAAAATAAGGAGTTCTGAGGCCCATCCCTTAAGCTGAAACAATTCTGCTGAGTCTGAATGACAAATAGAGACTGGCCTATATATGTAGTTTGCTTTTTAATTTGACAGGTTAAGCAGACTGACCTATGTTGTTGTAAATGTATTTAGTTCTTGCTTTTTTTTTTTCTTTGATCCACGCAAGTAGAGAGAACTATCTTGGTTTTTCCTTTAAAATATTTTGAATAATCCTAACAAATTGTGATTTGTACTTATACAGCACTATAGAGTAGTACCATTATAAGTGATTTGCTTAAAATAAAATACCAAATATTTTTTGTTTCATTTACTGCAAGAAAATACCTTGGCAAAAAAAAATAGGTCTTTAAAAGGTTAATAAACATGTGTTATCTTGGTAACATAATCTAATTTTTAGCTAGGAATCAAATATTAGGTTAAATTGACAAGAAGTATGTAAGTAAATGTCATACACCAAGAAATAATATCAAGGTCTGATGTGTTTGTCTTTATAGTAAATGCTTTCACAATGCCATGTTCTAGCAAGACCTTTGAAGTCACATTGCCTCAGCTTAAGTTCTTGTTTGGTCATTTTGTCATTGTGTCATCCTTGGAAGTTTACTCAGTTTTGCTGTTTCCTAATCTGTAGAATGGGAATAATAGCCACCTCATCAAGGATTTAATGAGGATTACTCTCTATGTAACCCTGCCTAGCCTGGAAATTCCTGTGTAGACCAGGCTGGCCCCAAACTCACAGAGATCCGCCTGCCTCTCCTGGGATGCACCACCATGTGTGTCATGTAATAGAACATAGTCCGGTAGTAATGTCCTATATGCATAGGTTCTGGGGATTAGCAAAAATGTTGGAAGAGGGACAGTTTGGAACTACAACTGTCCTAGAGTCTTAGGTGTCAATGGATGTACCACCATGCCTGGCAAGTTGATATTTTTAAGTGCCTGGAACAGCCACTAGACTGGGCATTTGATGACTATCAAATATTCCAGTATTGAAAAGCAGATAGGTAATTATCAAGTGCCTGGGGAGGGATGGAAGAGGAAGTTCTTATTGAATGGGTCGAGACATGGAAAGACCTGGGGAGATTGCACTGCACGATAATGATGGACTTAGTACACTTAATAATAGTTACTTTGGTAAATTTTATGTTTTGAGTATTTTACTACAATTAAAATGTTCCAGCACTAGTATTCTTTTTTTTCCCACAAATAAAAATATTTCATTATAGAAAAAGCATCCCATACACAGGATTCTGTACACACTGGTAGGTGAACAAGTGTATCTTCAAATGTAAATACAAAGTAAGAGGCAAAACCTCAAGCATTTTGTCTTTAGGAGAAAATGTAATTTTCCAGAAATGATCCCATCCAGACATAAAAGTGGCTCTGCCTCTTGGGAAGGGGGCAGCATCCTGCTGTGCTCCCTGCACCCACCTCAGAAATTGCAGATGGCAACAAGTGTGCCACTGAAACTTCTAGCATAAAACGAACTGAGCCAGCACCAGTATTCTATATACAGAATTTTTATTACCACACATCAGCCTTTATTGCTGTAAAAGTATAGCTTATGGCATTTCATTTGTTAGGTTCATGCACTGAAGATTTATCATAAATCATACAAATTATAAAAATTGACACCTAAGACAATGGATCAGTTGTAGTTCCAAACTATCCTTCCAACATTTTTGCTCCTCCCCAGAACCTGTGCATATAAGATGTTACTACCTGACTGTGTTATATTACATGACACACGTGAAAGCGGAATGGTGAAATCATCAAGGTGGGTCTAATTACAAGTGCCCATAAAACAGTGTAGAGTTTTCTGTTGCTGGGAAGTCATAGGAAGACACAACATACTGTAGCTGGTTTAGAGATGGATGATACCTGTGAGTGGGAATTCAGGCAGTCTTGAGGAATTTGGAAGGCCTAAAACTACCAAGACCAGCACGAAGCTACAAAAACCTGGATTTTTGTCAACAATCCAGCTAAGTTTAAAACAGAATTTCGAGATAGGAGCCAGCCCAGTTGAGCTGATGAGAAATATTGTTTAAAGCAATCCAGAGTGTGAAGATCTGTTGTGTTATGATAGGAAAGTAATACAGGATCTAGCAGAAAAATGAACATAAGAAACTAACAGACAGACGTAAATGGAGTTTTCCTGTCCCAACTGGTCCCAAATAACTGACATATAGGCTGAATATATGAATATAAATGCTCTGCCAATAGCTCAGGCTTACTACTAACTAGCTCTTACGTTTAAATTAACCCATTTTCGAGTATTCTATGTTTTACCATGTGGCTCTGTCCTCTAGCATCTTGCTTCTTCTTAGTCTCCTAGCAACTCCTGACTCCATCCTTCTTCCCTCTCCCCCGCCCAGCATTTTCAGTTTGACTTTCTGATCTAACCTTATTCTGCCTTATTCAGTCAGCTTTTTTTTTTTATTAACCAGTGCAAGTAATAAGTATGCACAGCATACAAAAGGATTATTTCACAGCAGACTGTTATAATGTGGATTTGGGATGTACCTCAAGGCCTGTGTGCTAAAAACTTAGTCCTTGTAGAGGCATTTAAAAAAGGGGTGGGGTTTACTAGAGGTAGGAAGTCTTTAGGACATTGAGGGAATGCCAGCAAAGGGAGTCGTGGGGCTCTGGATCTTCCCTGTTCTGTCTTTTTGTTCAGTGCTCTGTCATGCACTGTGACCCTGATGTGCTGCCTTGCCACAGTCCCAAATGTAACGAGATCGACGACTCATAACTGAAAACTGTGAGTCAAAATAAACCCTTTGCAAGTTGATTATTGTGGGAATTTAATTTTGGCAGTAGTAAGTTAACATACTATCATGGGAATTAGAATTAAATAGCTAATATGTTAAATTGAACTTTTTCTATTAATCAAAGAAATGAAAATGGAAACAATAATAAGGTAATTACTATAGACTTCCAAAGAGTTTTAATTCTCATGTCAAGTAGTATGTCATGGAGCAGACACTCTCAGATGCCGTGAGAGGCAAACAGTTAGTACAGCCTTTCTGAAAATCACTTTGACTGAATATATAAAAAGCCTCAACAGTGCTCCTCCCCATTGACTTAGAAATTCCTATTTTAGAAGTCCAAAGGAACTTATGAGAGTAGTTAAATTCAACGTGATGCTGAATATGCTTTTATGTAGAAAAGAATTGGCAATGGTACCCAGTAACAGGGAAGTAGTCAAATTATGGTTCCATCAAAAGATATACCATAACACAAATCTTACAAGATATTTATGAAGAATTTTAAGAATGGGATAGGGTTCAGTCCTTGCTAAGTGGGAGAAAAACAATAGAGAACTATACGTACAGTATGTCTCAACTAACATCTCTCTTTTCCTTCCTCTCTCTTTTTCTCTTTTGTTCTTTATTATACAGTGCTTTCTCCCCAGCTAGACAGTGAATAAGAGTTGTTTATTTTGCCTTTATTCTTTTCAAAACACTGACAGTGTACTTGTACTTTTTGATAACCACAAAGATCAATAAATGTTTCAAAGTTGCCTATGTTATGGAGAATACATTTTGAATCTAAACACTGCACAAACAATGTGAACAGTAAAGCTCATAAATAACTTAGAAAAATAGCAGAAAGTTAATTTTCAGAAAACAACGAGGTAGAAAATAGTAATACTGTAAGGATTGCATGGTGTTCCTCAGTAGGGCAATAAATTCAAACTTCTGTGGAAAGAACACTAAATGTGTTACTGCAGTACTAGAAAAGAACGCTTATCAATGAAACTTTGCTAAACACCCCTGCTCCTTTGTTTCTTTTTCTTTCCTTTTATTATTAATTTATTTTTTCTAAGACAGGATCTCATGATATAGCCTAGGTAGGCCTGAAACTTGTGTAGCCCAGGCTAGCTTTGAACTAGCCATCTTGTTCATAGCTAAACCATCCCGAATGTTCCTCATCTGAACTGAGCTAGTTATCCTTTTGCCTTTGCCTCTGGAGTTCTGGGATTATAGGCATGTATTGCCACACCTAGCTAAAAGCCCTTGTTTTCTTTAAAATGAATGGATTTAGGTGTTCGGTTACACCTCCAGTTGATGTATACAACCAGCTAATAAAGGATTGAGGGATATGTAATCATTTGACAGAAAAGAAAGAAGAGCTTGGGGCTGGAGAGATGGCTCAGAGGTTAAGAGCACTGACTGCTCTTCCAGAGGTCCTGAGTTCAATTCCCTGCAACCACATGGTGACTCATAACCATCTGTAATGAGATCTGGTTCCCTCTTCTGGCCTGCAGGCATAATGCAGGCAGAACACAGTATATATAATAAATAAATCTAAAAAAATGTTAAAAAAAAGAAAGAAGGAAGAGCTTGTCATTAGGACCTAGACAACCAAGCTAGATGGAAACCAGTACAACACTCGCTACAAGCATCCAAAGCTTGTATGTATTTGTCAGACAGCAGACATTCTGTGATGAGGTCATGCATTTACATATTTACAAGGCAAACTGAGAAATTGGTAATATTCTACCAGTTTCAGAAG